CATTTCTCACCAAAGAAGTGAATCGTTCCCTAGTACATATGGAACCTTCCCCACACATACGGATAATGTCTCCATCAGTCAGACACTGCCATTTCCACAAGGGACAGGACAGGAATGGCTAACACTTTCTAACTTATAAGCATATATCAGTGTTTTTATTTTTCTTCTAGTAATTAAGATTTCTAATAATTATGAAATAATGTTATTTGTGTGTGCATGTGCGTGTGCACATGTGTGCTTATCATGTGGAGGCCAGAAGTCAATCTCGGATGTCATTCTTCAAGAGCAGTCCACACATTGTTTTTTTTAATTCTTTAAATTTTTATTTATTTTTATTTTATGTGTATGAGTGTTTTGCCTGCGTGTATGTAAGTGCATCTATGTCATGCAATGTCTGTAGATATCAAAAGAAGGTGTCAGATACTGTAAAACTAGTGTTATGGATGGCTGTTAACTGCCATGTGGATGCTGGAACCAAACCCAGGTCCTCTGTAAGAGTAGCCGGTGCTCTTAACTGTTGAGTCATCTCTCCAGCCACCACACTGTTTTGTGAGATGGGGTCTCTCATTTTTACCTGGAGCTCATTGATTAGGCTAGGCTAGCCTAGCAGGCAGAGAGCCCCAAGGATCATCCTGTCTCTGCCTCCCCAGTGCTGGGATAACAAATATGTTCAGCCACCACATGTGGCTTTTTATGTGGGTGCTGGGGAGGGAACAAGGATCTTTATATTTGCACAGCAAACCCTTCACAAACTGAGTCATCTCCTTATCCCCTATTTATTGATTGATTGATTTTTATTCTGAAACAGTGTCTTTGTGACCTGGCATTTCATTATGTGCCAAATTTTCATCCAAATACAATATTCTATATATGATGGATCAGTTTACTTCCGTGTGTACCACCTGGGAACATTTGTGAATTATTCCTGGTTTTAGTCACAGTCAAACAGATGTCTATGATGCCAATTTAACATGGACATAATCATGTCAACTTTAGAGACTGTTGAGCAAAGGAGATTCTTAGGTAAGTGCTTCATGAACTGTAGTGCATAAAACTTTGAGCCTGACAGTGACATGTGGTCTTCAGACACTAGGGATCTATTGTGTTTGGAGGAAGGCAGGTACAGGTCTCCAATGGTCACGCCCATTTTAAGAGATAGCAGAATGGAGAATAGATTATTGATAGGAAATCCTAAGGAGGTAATAGAATTTCTAGGAGGAAGAGTACATGAGACCATTTGGGTCCTGATGCTGTGTGAGCTTCTGTTTTGGCTTGTGTCACACTGTTCAGTGCATGTGACAGTTTACCTCCTGCCTTATCCTGCAGCATCCTAGGAATGGAGCCCGTGGTATCTTTGATTCTCTTTCACTTAGCATGCTGTCTGATGGGTCTCCCCAAGACGATGAGTGTTAGTCCCAATTAGCATTGACTGTCAACTTGACACAGCCTAGAAACACCTGAAAAAGGAGTCTTACTTGAATAATTGTCTTTATCAGGCTATACTGTGGGTATGTGTTTTGTAAGGGATTGTTGTGTAAGGGACTGATTGATTTTGATTGTAGGAGGGCTTGACCCACTATGGGCAGCACCATTCCCTAAGCAAGTGGTCCTGGGATATATAAGGAATCTAGCTGAGCATGAGCCTGTGAGTGAGCCAGCAAGCCTCATTCCTCAATGGTTTCTAATGAACTCTTTGGCTGTAAGTGAATACCCTAGTAGGAGATAATGCAATGTAAAACAGCAACCAGTCCTGCCTTCAGGCTCCTGCCATGATTTCCCTCAGTGATGGACTGGGATCTGGAGCTGTAAGATGAAATAAACCCTTTCCTCCCAAGTTTCTTTTTGTTAGAGTGTTTTAACATGGTAACAGAAAAGAAACTAGAACACAAGTATGATAAAAGAAAACGGCCTCCCCTTCCTACCAAGATGTCTCCATCCCAATGCCTAAAACCCCAGGGGTGCTGACTAGGCAAAAGTACTTTGAAGATTTGATCAAGTTAAAGAACTTGAGGGAGGTAATTATTGTGGTTCTAGCTATGTTCAGTGTAACTACAATGTCCTCATAAAAGGGAGGTAGGACTAGAAAATAAGAGGTGATAAGCAGAGACTGGGTGTTGTGCTTTGCAGATGGGGAGAGGGTCATAGTCAAGGCATGCTGGATTCAAGGCACAGGACATGATTGTCCTCTTGAACCTCCAGAAAAAAATATCTCTGCCAACCTCTTGGTAACCTGCTTCAAGTTATTTCTGGAAAAATGCGTTAAAAGTGCCCTCTCTTTGGAATAAAAATAATAATAAAATAAAAACAAATTAAAAAATAATAATCAGGGTTTATGTCTGCTTTTTATTAAGTTACATATGTTTGCTACAAAAAGAACTTAAGATACTTCTATAAGAAAGTCAGTGAGGGGCTGGAGAGATGGCTCAGTGGTTGAGTACTTGCTGTTTTTGCAGAGGACCTGAGTTTTGTTCCCAGCACCCATATCAAATGGCATACAACTAACTAAATGACAGCTCAGTGAAGTCACACTTGCTGGGGCTCAGCACTAGGCAAACTAAAAATTACAAACACATGAAAATTTTATTGATAAAAGTTTATAGGTACTAGAGAGATGGCTCGGTTGGTAAAATGCTTGCTGCACAAGCATGAGGACCCGAGTTCAATCCCCAGAACCTACATAAAGAGTCAGGTGTGGTGGGGTGCACTCATAATCCCAGCACTGCGACGGTAGAAACAGGTGGATCCTTTGGGCTTGTTGGTCAGTCAACATAACTGAATTGGCAAGTACCAAGAAAGTGAGAGACCTTGACTTAAAACAAACTAACAAACAAACAAAAAAAGAAAATGAGGTGGACAGTACCTAAGGAGTGACATCTGAGGATGTCCTGTAGCCTCCACACACATGCATATGCACCCCCAAAATAAGTACACCTCCAGGCACATGCACCAACACATACAGCTACACCTGCACACACAGGCACATCTGCACACTTGCAGACACACAGATGTGCTTGCACACACATGCAAGTGCGTTGTACACAATTCATTTTATGCACAAAACTTGAGACTGTGAAAATTCTCCAAATTAAAAAGAAACATCACAAACAGTGCAAGGGTAAAACGCACAAAGCATAAAATGCTGATTACCATGGTGGGATGACATCACCTGCTAGGCAGAAATGCCCATCCTACTTTGAGGGAATTCATGTTGAATTAGGGAAGTTATAATTCATATAGGGGCCACATTATGCAACACATTCAAGAATGCACCTATTTGGCAGGGTGGGGTGGGGTGGTATTGTCTGTATTTAATGCATGCTAAACAATTCCTATGCAGCTGGAACAGGGAAAGCCAAGATTCTGCTTACTATGGCATTAACTAACAAAAAAAGCCTCAGAACTTCCACTCGCACATTTCCTTCCAGGGAAATGATATAAGTAGGAAAACTGAGTCAGATGGGTTGAAGATGCCACATATTAGAATGTAATAAAATTCCCAGCTATTGCCTGAAATTCAGTATTTGGCCTCAGGAAAGTAATAATAGGAGATCCATTGGTGTTGCCAGGTATATCTTTTATGAACCATTTTGCTACTATGAGCTGTCTTCAGAACACTGGGATTTGCAAGATAAAAGGGATCCTCCTGGGGACTCAGTGCTGCCAAGCCTCTCTCTCTCTCTCTCTCTCTCTCTCTCTCTCTCTCTCTCTCTCTCTCTTGCCACGTCTCTGTCCCCCTTGAATCTCCAGACCATGAGGTTGTGCCTATTATGTCTTAGAAACTCAGTATTCTAGTTTGGCCTCTGCTGCTGCAATAAAACCCTCTGACCAAAAGCAGCTTGAGGAAGAAAGAGTTCATTAGGCTTACACTTCTGGGTCTTAACACACCATTGAGGAAAATCAGCTCAAGAACTCAAGTAGGAACTTCAGCTGAAACCATGGAGGAACACTGAACTGGCTTACTTTCAGGCCTCGGGCTCATATTCAACTAACTTTTGATACAATCCAATGCTGCTCACTGTAGGCTGGGTGTTCCCACAATCATCAATTAAGACAATCATCCACAGACATGCCCACAGGTCAATCTGATCTGGAAAATCCCTCCGTTGAGACTCCCTCATATGACTCTAAACTCTGTCAAGGAGACAGTTGAAGTTAACTATGACACCCAGTTTTTAACTTGAGTTTTATAACTCACATTCCCCTCCCATTTTACAGATGAGCCCCAAGCCAAGAAACACTTTTCAAAACACCACTTCTGGGCGGTTTGAATTCAAACAAATAACTACCTTCTCTCTAGAAGGAGGAACTAAGAGACTGAGTTATAGAGAAGAAGGAATTCAGAAATCATAATTCTATCAGTTAAAATGAGGGAGAACAAAAATGATCTACATTTCATATTCATGTAACTTTTATCTTTTCATGTGTGTGGTAGGGGGAGTGCCTGTACATGTAGAGGTCAACCTCAGGTTTCTTTTTCAGCCATTCTGGTTTTTTAGATAGGGTCATTCACATTTTACTTGGAAGTCACTGATTAGGCAGTCAGTGGACCAATGGATCCTCCACCAGTCACTTTGAGATTCTTATATTCTATGGACTGGGGTAATACTTCAGACCCTGTCAGCTCTAATTAGCCTTCAACTAATCTGAAAAGGCAAACTCTCATTTTCTGCTCTTGAGTCCTCAGATACAGCATCTCTGGCAAGTATTCCTCAAATCCTATATCCTTGAGTCACTCTTTCTCATGTATCCAGAAAATATACTGTAGACATCTCTCATGTCCATGACAACAGGACAGTGAGAAGCCTTTATACATCCTCTGTTTCTCCAATCTTGCAAGCACATCTATGACCTGTTTCAAAGTAGAACTGTTAGAAACAAATGGTTTAAATAAACAGATACAGAATTTCTTAAAATAAAGGTGACTAGATGGCTACCAGAAAACTTAAAAAAAAAAAAAAAAGCCAACTGATACCCAGCTGCGAGTCAAAAGAACAATGTACCTGGTAGACCGTTATCTTAACTGTTTCTTCTTTCTTCTGCTCTGGACATCCCTGGCTCTGCAATAGACTTCGTACTGTTTCTTCCATCCTAAAAAACAGAAACACACACACAAAATTCTCAAAGATGGCTTCCTATGAATACAGAACTATTATAGTATTAGAGTAATATCTTCTCTGGTATACTGCCCAAACCTAGACAAATGAATAAATTCTTTTCTACACTATTTCATATTTTAAGAATCTGAGGTATGTCCAGAAGTCAAGATAGAACATTTTCTTAAAATTTTCACACTGAGAGATAAACAATGCCTAGCTAATTTTGAAAACCAGAGAGAACCATATTACACCTACAACCTACCGACAAATTGTACATAGCAGATCAAGAAATATATGTATAGGTAAGGTGTATCTGAGAACAACTAGTCTTTGCCCGAGATTTGTCTACATGACACACAGTAATTAAAACTACCAGACTGGTGGAACTAACCTTCTTGGGTGTTTAAAAGACATACTTTGAGGTCTATAATAATTTGGTCAGAGGGACATAAAGGACACTTTTTGCACCTTGCCCTCCTAGGTCGACTAGTTCCAGGGGACTATGAGCATCTCTCAAAATGTCCTATAATGGTTGTGGGTCACCTGTCCTCTTGATCAAGGAGGCTGAGGAGACCCCACCAGATGGACTTGAGCCAGTGTCCAGTCTATAAAAAGGAGGCTCAACACAGAGGAATCCCTTATCTTCACATAGATGGAACTGGTAAAAGAAAGGAGCCAGGGGCTCCTCCCAAGCCCAAGAGATCCCCTGAGGATGAGATCCTCAGATGACCTTAAGAGTAAAAATAACTTGGTTTACCTGGGCCAAATGTATGGCCTTAAACACCCAAAGGAAAGTATAACCAAAGATTATAGGGGCCAATATAATTTCTCAAGAGTCCATATACATAGCTAAAGGCTACATAACAAGCAACAATGCCAGACATGTGATACCTTCTTTTGAGTTGTTGGTCAGGGTGGCCAAGGGGATTCCCACATAGTAACCCAGCATAGAACTGGGAAATTGAACAGCAGACCCCAATCTTATCCAAAGGAATATAGACAACTGATTACCAATGGATGAAGAACAGCTGACCCTCCTAAAACAAAGGCCTCTAGATAGACTGACTAGATTCACCAGAAGGGCAAGTAGTGGGGAACGGCTGAGGGTGCCGAGAGCACAGCAGACAGTAGCAGGGATATCAGAGTACAAGGGCTCTAGTGGGGGGAGGGAGGCTATGGGAGGGTGCTACCTGGAATTTGGGTGTATAAATAAATAAAAAAGAAAAAATATAATTCTTCAAAGCATAAAAATTTGCTCCTTAATAATTAGTAGATGTGAAAAACATTACCATTGAAATCTACCTGATGACTCCAATCACTCAATCCTCAGCTTTGGACATCTATACTCAAACACATTTCACAACATCCCTTTTCCCTTCTCATCTCTACTTCTTAATTCAGTGTAATATCGCCCATCAATCTTCCTGAAACACTATTTTGATTTTTAAAAAATCAATTGGCCAAGTTAACAAATATCACACAAATGCTTTCTGGTCATTAATATACAGCCATGTCTTTCCAGGGTGGTTGTCCCATGTCAGCACACAAAGATTTACAATATAACAGTGCATGTGCATAGCTGAAGGCTATATAACAAAAGACACATTGCTAGGCAGGAGAAATCTCCCTTTGAGTTGCTGGTCAGGGTAGTCCAAGAGACTTACAAAATAACACAGAATACTGCCACAGCCCTTGATTTCCTCCCAGAACTTGAAGGTAAGACCCAATTGATGAAGACAGGCCACACTTCCAACACAAAACTTGGAGCAATCAAGGTAGAACTGACCTGGAATCTCCTCCCTTAGCTCTCATGGTATCAGATGATACTATATAAGCTGCCAAGGGACAAAAACCAATCAATAGTCCTACCCACCTGTAAAGCCTAAAAATAAACAATGACTGTACCAAAAAGCTATCACTATTGGTATTGTAGTGACACTTTTATCTTGGAGGTAATCAATAGCTGCCTAATTGGAATTAAGGCCCACTCAATGGGAGAGAGCTCATGTTTGATACTATAAACATAAATAAGTACATGGCTGGAGATATCATAGATCCTAGAGTAAAACCTACGTTTGTCACATCTCTAGACCAATGTAATTTTTTTCTTTATTCTAAATTTGCATCTTCATATTTATAGACAAGTGTGTCTTTCATTCCTCATCAAAGAAGCTTCTTTTTGACATGAATGGAGACTATTATAGAGTTCCAGAACTGGTCAAACGCAGAGAGTAAGTGTCCGTGAGACACTTAACCCTAAGTGACACATCTTCAATGCAAGCTCTACACATAGGATGAAAGCATTTATCAACTCTCACCAGTGAAGTTTCTATATGCAGCCGATGGTGGTTAATACAGAAACCCACAATTTGCCAATGTGCAGAGAACAAGAGGTTGCAGAGTGTCTGTCCCTGAATAGGACAGCTAGTTCAAACCTCTGCCTCCCAAGGCTCAGGGATCATTGCTGAAGGGGAGGCAGAAAGATTGTAAGAGCCAAAGGGGGTGGATGACAAGGAAACAGTCCTCCAGACAGCTGGCCATTTACTTATACGAACTCATAGCAATGGTGACAGCATGCATAATTCCTATGCAAGCTCAAACTAGACAAAATCCCAGTATAAACATGGAGAAGTAGGTAAGAAAGCCCAACCCAGCCTAAGGAACTTTGGGTAACTGATGGCTGCTGGGAGTGTAAGATAGTGTCTTACACGTATGGGACACTTATTGGGCCCAGTGAATGTACCAACACTGAAGAACATTTAGAGACATAAATAAAACTCTATAGGCCATATATTGTATGAAATCGCAAAACTTTAATAAAAAATTCATAGAAAGGACAGTAAATGTTCTTAATCTCTGAGCCATCTCTCTAGCCTCCACAGTGCTTTCTGGTTCTTAATTGTCTTTTCTAGTCATATCTCAAAACATGCATTTTTAGTCACGAGAATGACATTAGTTTAAGAGAATCATGGTTAAAAGCAAGCTGACACAGCTTGTGTTACCAAGAGTGTCCTGGATGACAAGCTACGGACTCTGAAAGGCCTACAAATCCCCTGAGATGTTAGGAAATTTCAGCAAGCACGGTAGCATAGCACAGTAGACCAGTCTATTTAGTTAACAGAAGAGTGAAGAATGTGCAGGTGAACTGAGACATCCAAGCATGAAGTGTGTGTGTGTGTGTGTGTGTGTGTGTGTGTGTGTGTATATGTATGTGTGTGTGTGTGTGTGTTTGTAGTGTGTGTGTAATATATACAGGTACGTATGCATTCAGGTGTGTGTACATGTGGAGGGCAGAGGACAGCCTTACATATCTTTCCTCAGACACAGTCCATCTTGTTTTATTGAGGCTGGGCCTCTCACTGGCCTGAAACTCACCAAGTAGGTTAGTTGGCTGGTCAGTGAACCCCAGCTCACTGTGTCTGTGTCTCTACCTCATCAGCTTTAGGATTATAAATGCGCACCATCACTCCTACCTTGTTTTATTTTTTTCCCCAGTGGGTTCTGGGGATCAAACACAGTTCCTCATTCTTGCAAGGCAAGCGCTTTACCAACTGAACTACCACTATAGTCCCCAAACCTAATCATTAATTAGGGAAATTAATTAGGGAAATTCTGTAACTCTGACTCTTCAGAGGATTGCACCAAGACCCATCCTGGCTTTAGAAAGATGGCAGACATTGGGTATGAGTGCACAAAGAATGATTTGGGATGACACAAAACACCATCTCTAACAGCAGCTAGGTGAGCAGAGTCTGTCCCCAATATTTTCAATAGTCTTAAATTATTAACAATAACTCAAAATTGGACAGTACTTTCAACTCACTGAAGAACTGTCTCATCTATTAATCATTTTCAAGTACTTTAGAAATATCATTATATCTATTTGGAAGATGAGAAAGCTGAGGTAGCGAAAGCTTAGATGGCTTGCTCTGGGGTTGTGGTTACATGATAGACAGTGAAGATTAAACCATTTTTTACCAACCTAAATTCAGTCCCCTTCTACCCAATCTGACTGACATTCAGAATAAAGTTACCAAGTAAATAAGAGTGCTGACTTCCAGTTAGGATTTCTCCTGGCAACAGTTTTGGAATGCTGAGCTCAAGGTCAACTATTTCATATTTTTATCAGTGAAGGACTTCAGATCTTCGGGGAGGGGGCAAAAGGGAGAGGAAAGAGAGGAAGGGAAGGATGAAGGAAGGGGGAAGGAAAGAAGGAAGAGGAAGGAAGGAA